ATATATATATATATATATATATATATATATATATATATATATATATCACCGCCGTATCGGCCGGCATGCGATATTTTACATTAAATCCTACACACGTCGGTCTATTCCGTATTTACTGCCGTCTATCCCGTAACTTTCGAGCTAAGACCGCATCGCGGTAGGCAGGCCGCGATCCTGGGAGGCACGACTGTGCACCACCCCCCGTTCTGTCATTCGAGATTGGCCCCCCGCGCGACGGAACGGGGGGAGAACGGGACAGTGGCGGCGACTAGTGTGTTCAGGCACGCCACAAGTTTTACGAGGTAGCATAAATAACCTGGTTAGTGCTTCGTGATGCGGTGTCAACGGAAAGGCGGACTCCACCCTCCCGCGAGCACACCACACCGGCTCTCCGGTAATCGTCGTAATCGTCGCGCCGGGGGGTCGCGGTGGCGTGACACCTGCCTATCGTACCTCACGGCGTACCCGAGATCGCGGCACCTCCCTCTTTTTCTCTTTTTCTTTTTCCTTTTCTTTTTCTTCTCATTCTCGCTTTCTCGCTGGATATTTATTATTTTTTTCTACCCTATATGTAAACCGCGTGTATGTACACGCGGATATCGTGAACGAGACGAATGGACCGTGCACGCGTGTCACGACACTCCCCGGTGGGATATCCGTGCATAAGATACCGCGAATGTGTCCCCCGGTTATATCAGGGCTCTCGAACAGCTCTTAGATCATTCCGTGTGCCGCATATACTCGAGCCTTTCCCTTTAATTACAGAAAGTGGCTCAGTTTACGGTGGACGATTTATTTTGATTCAAAGGATTGCACAGGTATCACGCGAGTAATTAATCACAGCCGTTGACGCTAGTGATAGAAAGAGATCTTGCGGGAATTATGGCTCTCGGCTATCTTTAACAGAATTTGTTACTGTAATTTAATTACGGTTAGCGCACTAAGCAATTTTTTTTTGCGTACCAGTAAACGCAACACCAGCCGATGTAAATTCGTCTTAACATAATTAATTCGATAAACTTTTTGTATAATATCAATTGATGCGGTGCGTATAACAGCGATAATTCTTTTTATTAAGATTTCCTTCAGTAAACTTTCCCCCGCGAAGGGGGGGGGGGGGGGGGGGGGCAGTTAAAGCTTTCTCGAAAGGGCAGACAAATGACGAATGGCATTTCCGATTTTCTCCAGCCAGGCACGCGAGCTTTTTCATCCTGAACGCGCGTTCGCCCTGGCATTCGTTCTAATTGACGGTAACTTAATGACGATGCGGTTGAATCGAGGACGCGCTGTCGAGGGTTGGCTTCGAGACGGGACGCCGTTTGCCTCGTAATCGCTTCTCGAGGGTGGCGATGACGTGACATCTATCCGTCGCGTACGAGCTGCCAGGGATAAAACCGTGTTTTCACCGTTCTACCTATACGAGTAGTAATTGACAGAAGTGCCTCTCGTTCTCTCGCGTCGAAAAGCCACCCTTTTCTTTCACCGCGCGCCGCGCCGCCCTTTTCTCCCACGATAAATCAACTGCGTCCGGGCTAAACGCGCTCACGTCTCTCGGAATTGCTCTCCGAACTCTCGTCCGGTGGAGAGGAACGGCCGATATCTCTAAACAAATCTAGATTGATTTGTGGTGTGCTGCAAATATATTTTATGACGCGGGACAAGAGTTATGGCTCGGCAAAGGTGAAATTAAAACGGAAAGTATCGGTACCATCAATTGAAACAAATCATGAAAATAATCGTATAAATATTAATGAAATAATCATATAGAGATTGTATCAATAATCAATATTTAATTACAGAACAAATGATATATTTCTTTTGTCACGATAACGTCACTGGCATTCGACAAAACGGTAATAACAAAAGAAACGATATAGAGTTTATTCTTTTTCCAGCTATGAATATATTGCGAATTTTCTTTGAAGAGAATTTAATTCGCGCTATATCGATCGAATTGTTACTGCCATCACGTCCGTAACGTTACGTATTTTTCGATGAAAATTCGCGAAATAAATCGCAGATTTCGATTCTCTTCGTTTGGTAGCGCTCGAAAGAGGAAGAAAGAGCGACTGAGAATTTCGTGAGGGTGAGACTCGAGTGATTTCCTGCAGCTGTAAGCGTTTGCTTAATATCCAGTCTCGGATTCCCGTAATAGCGTGAAAATGTTTGCCCAAGAGGCGTCTGCTCCTCTCGCGCACTGCTTCTCGAATCCAGAGAGAGAACAGAATCATGGGCGCCGACATGATTTCTCCGAGGGTGCAGGCGCACGAGAAAATATTTCTCGAGAGAAAAGAGCTTAGAAACTTTTCTACTTATTATATTTATCAATTAAAGAGACAGCTATAGGCAAACTTGCGCTTTTCAACATGCATGTTGCATTTGGGTCTCAATGAATTTCTTTACTTTCTCGATTAAAACAGTTTCGCGCACGAGTGCGCCAGCCGTCAGCCGCTTCGGCGTGTTGCTAATGAGTTTATCAGGTAGTTTACATTCCTAAGGCTAGCTACAAGTTTCCCCGTTAAATTTTCCGCGCGGGCTAGATCTTCCGATCGGAAACAGTCAAGAGCATGCGGCGCATATCCGGCGCCTTTCCGCGCTCCTCTCCGACGCCCATGAGTCGCGAGAGGTCGTGTGAATTGCGATCCGTCAACCTTTTTCCGTATTTTCCACGTTTTTCGTGCACGGGAGTCGGGGGGTATGCGAGAGCGCACGTGTGAGCGGGGACGTGCGCGCGTGTTTCTGTGTACAGAGAGCAAACTTCGATTCTGAAGAGACGACGGAGAGACGAGCGACGCGTACCACCGCCATTGTTGCTGTCGATGAAAAGGAAGTCGTATAACACGAGGGAATCCTATCGTCCGACACCAGGAAGGAAACGCCCGTGGCTTTTAAAGGGACGAGGGTGTTTCCCCCGTATATCCCCCGCGCTCCCTCCCCCTGCCCTCGATTTATACCGAAATTATGCCGCGATTTTGTATTATCGGACAGCAGCGGGGAGAATATTAAAGGACGAAGGCGAGCTGATTTATCCCGGAATTATTCCCGGCTCGTATTATTCGCGTCCTTGTGTTATTCCAGTGAGCGAGCCCGCCGAGCCGCGCCGGTTGATTCGGCTGGATGCGCGTGAGCGATGAAAAATGTGCGGCCATGCGAAAAGTACGATGATAAACGCGGCATGAAGCGTACAGAAAAGGGTCAACGCCGCCGATCGCGGCTTCAGTGATTAATCGTGGGCGCCAGGATTTTTGAGATAGGTTTCAATATCGCGAATCAGCCGAGCGTGTGTCGTGAACAGTAATAAGTTTAGACATGATATTTCTTATCGATCCCCTGACACGCGCTGCTACGTTTTTATTTGAAAGTTGTATTTTATATAAGTTATATAATTTAGAGCGAGCATTAAACGCCTCATGCGACGTAATGATAAAAAATAAGCAAATTAAATAAAAAAAGTTTCAGCAAATGTAAAATTCTACGATAAATAAAAATTCCACTTTAGCTTTTATTCATTTCAGATAAATATCAAAGTAAGCTATTTTACGTTTTAACTTGTTTAACGGGTTCAAGCGATCTATCGCTATTAAAAGCGTGCATTAATTCTTTGATCATATCGAAAATTCGCTCGATTGAGCCATTTTGTTATTTTAGAGAATAACAACGTTACGTTCATTATAATAATATCGAATTCACCGTGTGACGAATATTATTTTTAAATTTGGAGAAAACATGTTAAACAAATATTATTCAAATATGTATTTACACGGCATACGTTTTCGCGTAACCAAAAGTACACGATCCCAAACGATATCCATCGGTGCATAAGCCACGAAATTAGTCACGTGTCGCTAAGCACTCGAGGCAACGATCGTGTAATTTTTATGGGAATTTTCCGATGGATCTTTTACACGATTGAACCCGTACGGTTTTACCGCGTATCGTATCGGACGATCGATTAAAACAGCGTATTTTCGAGTCGTTTCCCACAGATATACCTGCTTTCATTTTAAATTTAAATGTGGGAGAGCAGCAGTATATTCTTCGTTAATAATGCAGTTCTAAATTATAAATTAAAATCTCGTTCGCTCGGAGACAATGACAATTTTCATACATATATGAAAGCTGATCGAATCGCAAATCTTATAAGATCGCAATAATAAATATAACATCTTAATAAGATAACATTTAAAAAATATTCTATTCAGAATAGAAGGCAATTTTGTTTATTATATATACATATATTTATATATTTGTTAATATTAATATATATTTATACATCTTATCAATTATCTAAAATCATTTAATTAAAGGAGAAGTGAACAAAATTTATTTTATTCAAATAATATCGAGTTTTCTATTTGCCTTCAAATAAAAAGGAAAATTTCGAACAATCGCGAACCAGATGTAATTAATCTTTCTATAAAATATCTACAAACAAGTAGGAAAAACAGCCAGAAAAAAGAAGAGCATTGGGTATAACAAGTTGACGATGCCTTACGAGATTCCTCCTATGGTTTCCCCCCTGCTTTCAGCGTGCAATAACGAAATGCCATTGGTCTTTTTGCGTGTCTACCCTCCGTATCG